CATAGTCCTGGAAACAGATGGTAGGCTAAACTGCAAAAACAAGGGGAGTTTTAAAAAATAACGATTTACACAGTTGCAAGCAGGCTTAGAGAAACTGATAAAGGATAGTGCAATACTCAGCAGGTTGTTCAGGCTTTGTGGGACCTAAAGCAGATTCAATTTTTAAAACCTTCCTTAACTGAAATAAATCGAACACACACATTTACTGCATTGTGTCTTTGGTGTGAGAAACCAAAACGGGAAATAAGGACTGAAATGTGTAACAGATACTGGGAAAGAGGAAGAAAATGTTCAAATGGGAAGGGGAACAGGCGAGGGATAGAGAGAAAGGAAGGAAGAAGGGACAAGAAAAAAGTGAAAATAGAAGGAACGAATGGAAACAAAGCTTCTGTACATCATGAGGAGAGGGGACTGAGGGGAGGAGGGAAGGGGAAAAAGGCGGATGTACCGTGCACAGGTGCGAAGTCCCTATGATGAGTGCTACCATGTATGCCTAAAATGCACCAATAGTTGTTTTGCTATTAAAAAGAAAACCTTCTTTAAGAAGAATGCAAAACTGCTGATAACAAGTGTACAAAAATGAATTCAGAATGCAAAAGAAAGCATACAAAATCTTACATGTATAAATCTATTAGTACCAAACACTCATAAAATCTAGATACAGCAGCATATCACCATTGGGCACATTTCTTCACTAGCTTTCCCTCTATGTGATTTGTTTGTTTTCTTAGGTGTAACTTTTGGATCATGGCTGCATAGAACATTGACATCATTCTTTATAAAAGGAATAGGAAGCTAACTCACTGCTTCTTCTAGATGGCCTTTTTCTGGATTCTCTGTTCTGTTCATTTGGCCCATAAATACCTCCCTACAAGCAAATGAGACCAGTTCCATGGTACAACTGGAAAAACAAATCACAGCACATGTCCTGCCGAGAGCATCAGTCAGAGGCACCACTTTTTAAAGTGGAAAGATGAAGGCCTTTTACAAAGCTCAGAAAACTCTCAGTTCAGCTTCCATGCGTGAGAATAGTTCTGTCATTTCCTTGTCACCAAGTGCTTTAGTGCTTCCTCCTTGAAGTTCTTGCATGACAAATGAGGCCCTGCATCCTTTGCCTCCTTCTTACCTGCTGTGCTGGTCTCCATCGCTTTTTCACCACCAACTCCACCTGCACAATACAGAGTAGGCTCCAGGAACATGCAGCTCCCTCCAGTTCTGAAACCTGCTATGCTCAGAAACGTTCCTAAACCTTGACATGTGATGCTCTCTCTACCTGGAACACCGTCTCGGCTCTGCTGCCTGGCGAGCCCACATACCCATGCCTGTAAGTCACAGATAAAATGACACTCACCCTTAAACCCCTTCTTGATCCATCAGATGTACTCGAGTACTTCCCTTGTCACAGTCCCACTGACACAGTGAAGACTATAATGCAGTTTACTGCTGGTCTCTCTTCTTATGACCTGGCAAATTTTTGAAGATCATGACCTGAGGCTTCTCATTCTTGTCACCTAGGCACCATGCACAGTGTCTGGCACACCATACGTATTTAATAAATGTTTTTAATGAATGAACATTGATCAATTTCTATAATCTAGTCCTGTGCTAAAAGTGTTATCTCACTTTGTGCTTGTAACAACTGTGAAGAAGTATTATTATTCTTATTCCTGTTGGTGATTGCAATATCTTCTCCCAAAATATGCCACTTTGGCACTGGGGTTATTTGGACCTGAAGACAATTGAGAAACATTAGAGGCCAAAATGTCTTCTCTATTTGCCTAAAAGTGGGACATAAATTTCCACTTTTAAATGTCCATTTGGACATCTCTTAGATTCTTAATCACTTGAGATAACTCTAAAATCTTATCATCAAGAATAACCAACATAATAAACCTCACTGAAATAGCCCTTATTTTCCATTAGTTCCTTCTCCATATTTACCTTCCCACAGTTTGCCGCTCCTAAAAGCCTAAATGTGATGCCATTTCTCTACAAATTCACTGTCTCTGTTAGATGCTCTAAAAGCTTCAGTTCTACACTTGATCTTAGCCAAAAGGCCGAGAAGCGATTAAAAGCTTCAGTTCTAACCATAGCTGTAAGTTACCTCCCTCATGTCTGTGCATTGCTTGCTTTTGTAAATTTTGTTTTCCTCTTGCTAACCTGTCTTTCGCCAGTTCAGCTTCCAGGGCTCAGACTGTAGCACCTAAGAGCAAAGAAGGTTATTGTTTTTGTCTTCATTTTTAACTCCTCTACAGTTTACTGATAAAGAATGGAAGCTCAATGAGTTTGAATAGTTTGCCAATGGCTGTTTCAACCCAATTCGGTTGGATATCAGAATAGGCTGCTTACCACAGTACACGGTTCCTCTAAGCAGGTAACCTGTGCAGTTTCAGTAGCCCTTAAACCAGCTTCGCGTGGCATGGCTGACGGACTTTTTCTGAGATAATATACTGCTCTTCCTCCTCTAGGAGATCAGGACTTCCATTATGTTTCTGCACCGTCCACTACCACTGAAATTGCTCTTTTCAAGGTCACAAGTGATCTCTTTGCTGCCAAATCTAACTGCCACTTTTATCTTTTTTGACTCTCAATACTTTCCCACAAAGATGACTGCTTCTTTTGTTCTGGAATAATATTCTTCTCAACTGTTGTGACAAATTATTATCTGGGGCTTTGCCTTTCTGGCATTCTGTCTCAATTCCCTCTTCTGGCTCTCCCCTCTCTTCTTTACCCTCAAACACTAGGCTTCCTTCAAGGAGGTCTTGAACCAGCCCCTCTTTTCCATTTGTCTCCTGCCTTGGGTGATTAAGTAGGACCCACATGCTGTATGCCAGCCTAGATGTCTGCTTACATTCAGATGTGCAACTAATGATGTCATGCCTTGATTTTTTTCCACTGGTGTGTCCTCAGATTTCATTGGTAGCTTCATTTCTACCCTCAAAAATGCTCCTCTCCCAGAGTTCCAGTTACTATTGCTACTGACAAGCCACTACTCTTAACGAGTCAGAAGTCAGACAGGGCATGGTGGGAATGATTTGTCTTGACTCCGTGATAGCTGAGATTTAAACAGGAAGACTCAGAGCCTGGGGAACTGAGTAACGGGGTGACACGTCATGCTGCCAACTGAGACTTCAGCGGGGGCTGCTGACTGGAACATTTGTGCATGATCACTGCCTGTGACCTGGGCTCCCTCAAAGCAGGGCAGCCTCAGGGTAGGTGGACTCCTCCCGTGTGGATCAAGCCATGCTGAAGAAAACGCAGACTCTGCGTGGCCTTCCATGGCCTACATTTGGAAGTCTCAGGCATTTCCACTCTGGTGGAAGCAGCCACAAGCAGGTCCCAGGATAAAGGGGAGGGAATGGAGACCCTGCCTCTCAGTTGGGACAGAGTAAGTCACCATCACCTCGCATCACCTAATTGGTCTTACTGATGCCAGATTTGTTCCCTTCCAGTACATTTTCCATGTAACAGTTAAAGTGACCTTACTAAAATCTGTCAAACCTTATTCTCTTGCTTAAAGGCCACCAGCGATTTCATGGAGCACTCAGAGTAAACGCCTAATTTCTTATTCCTCCGCCTTATCCAGTATCAGTCTTCCTTGAGTTCACTGGACTCATCACACTCCAGTCACATGAGAGCAGCAGGCCTCTTCTTAGAAACTTCATGCACTGCACTGTCTGTCCCCGCCACCTGAAACGCACTTTCCTTCCCTGTTGCTGTTTTATCTCTCCCATGCCCAGCTCTTTGTCATCCATCAAGACTTGGCTCTGTGTGACCTGCCTACTCCAGCTAAGGTGACTTCCATTTGTTTTAGTCACTTTTTAATTCATTCTTTCAGCACTCTGCTTGTTTTCTTTAGAGCTTGTTTTATGATCTAAAATATTTATTTGTGACTTGTTTATTTGGGACTCTCATTAGAATGTAAACTCCACAAGGGAGGGTCTCATTGACCCTTTTATCCTTATTAACTACTATAGTACCTGGCATACAGAGGGAGTTGAGAAAATATTTGCTGAACATAATAAAAGACAGGGAAATAGGTAGATGATACTTACCCAATGACAGCAGAAGACAAGACATTATTTTCTGAGCACCTTTTTGGCCAAGAAGAAAAAATCATAACCTTAAGAGGTCGTTGCCATGAGAGCCTTTTTCAGATCAGGGACATCTGACCCATGCCCTGGAATAGACCCACCATCTTGAATCACACCCTGCCCCAGGAAGAGGAAAGCTTGCCAGATGATCAAAACAATAAATCACCTGCACTCTCTTAGACACATGACATGATTACACTGCTCTGGTTTCTGAAGCTCCTAGGGGTCTGCGATGGGTTTCCTAGGATCCTTATTTTCTTTCAGGCAGCCGTTTGCAGCCAAGCCCGACCATCACTTTTAGATTATCTCTGCAATCATCCTCCAGTTCCAAACATTCAAAGTCACAGACACAATGGTTTCCAAAAATTCTGGATTCATTACAACGCCATATTTATGCTTTTTAGTGCCCCCTCATCTAAGAACCGTAAGCATCTGTTTGATTTCCTGAACTAAAGAGAATCATAATGAAGTGACTTTGAAAGCATTTTTGCCACTTTTTTATGCTTGGTAAATAGCCTCAGGTGTCAAAAGACCGTCTCAAGGTCTCTTGACAACTTCATTAGTACCAATGGTTGGCTTACCATTTTGTTTGGCCATATTTTTCTTCCCTTTGTGAAAGGGAATCATCAGCCAAGAAAAATGTACTCCCAATCTCCTTTCAAGGAAGATTTTGCCTTTATTGTTTTTTTACTGGACTTTTTTGTATTTGCTTTCTTACCTTATGATAGCTTGCCATATTCCTCTATATTTTATTCTCAAGTATTTAATCGCTTTATAACGATACCTTTATTGATAACAAAAAGGAAACATATTTGTCTCTTTCCTTTGAAACTCAGGATTTGTCAAATGTGATGTTAAAAGAAAAAAAAAAGCCAACTGTATCTGTTTGGCAAAGATTCACAGCCACATTTGTGATTCTTCTCTCTAGTACTTTTCCTGGGAATGACAGTTTTTTGGTCTATTTCACTGGCTGCGGTAATATATTCCCTTCCAAAGGCTCATTCCCAGGGGTTTGGTAGGAAGTCTGCAAAGAATGAGTCATGGTGAACCAGGAAGTACAGCTAACACCTGGAGCCCTCCAGCCTTGCACAGAGGGCCTCACATCCTTTACCTGTTAAAAAAAAAAAGCCAGGTAACTGATGCTAGTACCTATCAATCTATCTATAAGCAGATATTATGAACACAAAATATGGTCGCTGTACCTGGGACTGCCTTCATTACCTCTTCCCTCCTGGAGAGTTTATATTGTTTTAAATTTAACTTTTCTGATATCTAAATAATAGTTTTATTGTTAAGAAAAGGAGAGTGAATGTTAATGAGCAACATTTTATCAATTCTCTTAAACATTACCCAAATCATTCAACTATCTTACTGCCAGGAAGAAGTCTACAAACTTTCCAGATTGAAAATCCTTTGGACTGATGCCTTACAAACCAACCTGGAGAACAATTTATTGTGACTGTGCTTTTATTGTTTTCAGTTCTTTCAAAGAAAGGCAAATATTTACTACATCTGATACTTTGTAGTCAACTTTTTTTTTTTTTTTTTTTTTTTTTTAAGACAAGGTCTTTTTTGAGCACTTTATTTTCTCCTAAGTACTTTGAAAAGTATTCTGTTTTGCAGTGTTCTCCATAATGCTCCATCTGTTCTGGGCTTTCTGAAGATTTAAAAAAAAATCTCCTCAGAAAATTCAATGGAAAAAGGTAAAGGCTTTACTGCCAGTAGATTTTTCTCTTCTTTTTGGGAAAGAGCCAGTGTGCATTTAAAAATAGACCTGAGAAATATCTACAGCTTGAGATTCATTAAACCCCCTAATATTTGCTCTAGAATAAAAAGGAGAGTTGATACATCTGAACTAAAATGACCCCCATAGTTAATACCACTCTACATTTCAGATCAAATACTCCACTATAGCCACTCTCCAGTGGAGTAAACACTGTTATATTAACCACACGTCTCTCTCATTTTTAATTTATCTTGACAAAGAGAAGGTGACAGTTTAGGTCATTCTGAGTGTCCTCTGTTAAGTATCCATCAATGAATGTTCCTCTTTTTTTTTTTTTTTCTGGTACCGGGGATCAAACTTGGGTCCTTGGGCTTGCAAGACAGGCAGAGGAACCGCTGAGCTAAATCCCTGGCCCTATGTTACTTATTTTTTTTATTACCAATAACAGTTACTGGGATCCTAAACCAGATAAAAACATTGAGGCAATAAAAAAGGATCACTTATTTTTAAGTTTTCTTTTTTTAAAAAAATTAACATTATTGAAGTATAATTGATGTACAGTAAAATTCACAAAGTTTAAGTGTATAATCAGAGGATTTTTCATCAGCTGATAAGACCAAAAGTGTGGCTTTTGAATTTCTATTGACTAATTAGAGATGTTGATACTTATACATTGGTATTTTTGCAGTATTTTGTGAGTCAAGTCAGAAGACCTCGATGATTTGGATTTTTGCCTTAGGTTTGCTCATCTATGCAAACAAAATCAATCCTGAAGGAGCTCTGGGTAAATTCCCGTATCAGTGGTTTCCAGAATGAAGTAATACCTTTGTCTCCCACAACGGGAGCAGCTTTTAACTTACTGGAAATCTCATGGTTAGCGGAGAAGTAGGGTGTCTAGGAACAGGGATGATGAGGGACATCTAGGTAGGCAACCTCCTTTATGTCCTCTTCTGGTTTCTGTCTCACTTTCCTTCTAAATAGGTTTTTACTCATAACTTTTAATTTGACACAAGTTCAAGCTTAGAGAACAGTTGTAAGAACAACACATGAAAATTAATATACTCTTTGCTCAAATCACTAATTTTTGTTTGTTTGTTTGTTTGTTTTATGGTACCGAGGATCAAACTCAGGACCTTGCAAGGCAGGCGGCGGAACCACTGAGCTAAATCCCCAGCCCAAATCACTAATTTTTATATTTGCTCCAACTTAAATAAATTTTACATTTAGGTATTTTAAAAAAATTATTATTCCAGAAAAAAGAAACCCTAAGGTCTGGTTCTGTTCAATTGTGTGTGTGTGTGTGTGTGTGTGTGTGTGTGTGGAGATTGAACCTAGGGCCTCAAACATGCTAAGTATGTACCTTACACTAAGCTACATCCCAGATCCTTTTCAAAAAAATTTCCATTTATCTCTAGCCTTACAGATGAAGTAGCAACTAATACAGTGGACCTTTGACTCTCAAACTCAATTCATTCCCAAGGGCTGGTTGTAACTCAAGTTGGTCAACTGAAAGCTCAGGCTTCTCTACAAAGCTCTCACAGGCTCTCATCTGTGTACAGGCAGATTTCAGTGTCCTTAGAGAGACACTGGCTGGGACTTCTCAATTAGCCCCACACAGGAAAGGATGTTGTAATGCTCCTTCCAGAACTCTTTGAGGACTAAATCTGTATCTGAGACCATCTGGAAGCACAAGTGGCTAGCATTTGGGTTGTAACTCAAGACTTTGGTCATAAGTTCAAAATTCTGGTCATAACTTAAGTTGTTCGTATGTCAGGCTGGTTGTAACTCAAAGGTCCACCATACTTCCATTTTATAGCTAGGAAGAGTGAGACATAGAGAAGCCTGGAGCAAAAGTCTGAAGCCCAGCACTGCCTATGGCCAACATAATGAAGCCAATGACCATCTAGCTTTGTTGTTTACTTTTGCAAACCATATCTTGACCTCTTTTTGTGATCCTTGGCTATTACCTAAAGCCCGAGCACCTTAATTTTGATGACTGATATATATTTTTTTCATTACTAGGGACTGAACCAGGACCTCACACATTAGGCAGATAGGTGCTTTGTCACTAAGCTAACATCCCCAGCCAAACTGATATTATGCTTATTGTTGTGGTCATTGATATTCCTTCTGATTTTGGCCATTTCCACATCCTGTTCAGCCCACCAGGGGCCTGTTTTGCTTTATCCCTAAGAGAGGACATTAAGCAGTAGTGTTTTCAAAGATGCACATCTAGTGATATCAGGCACTCCAGCACTTAGAATCATAGAACTAGGACATGTTAGTGTTGAAATAAGCATGAAATAACTCCACACAACTCTAGCATTCAGATGAAGACACTGGCCCAAGAGGCTTATTCTAATTTTGTCGAAGTCACAGAGTGAGTTTATAGCATAATTATGAATACTCTTCTATTCTTCTGCTTTTTTAAAAAAACACATTATACTGCCTCGACTGTTTCTGTTACAACTAATTCTCAAATGTAAGTTCATTCATTTTTTATGGCGTTGACATATTTACTGAACATATACTATGTTTTGTGTAAGAGACACACAAAACAGTTTAAATCTGCCCTCCCAGAGCTTATATTCTAGCAGAGAAAGAGATTGTTAAAAAGTTATTATGATAAAGAAAATGTGGCTTTTCTATAAAATGGAATACTACTCAGCCATAAAGAATGAGAAAATAGATTCATTCATAGGTAAATGGGTACATTTTGAGGATATACTCCTAAGTGAAATAAATAAGTCACACATGTGTAAATACCGAATAGTTTCTCTGCTGTGAAAAACTAAAATAGTACTCAAGATCCTAATGGGTTAATTAGCAATGTGAAACAGAAAGAAAAGGACTAAAGGTGTAGGGACAGTGAAAAGGGTAGGGGAAGGGGAATAAGGGAAAGGGAAAAAATATGAGAAAATATAAAAATGGAATTAAAGTGTTTGTAGGTGGGGAGGGGAGGAGGGAAGTGAAGGGAGGGTGGGGACAAGGGGAAAAAATGAGAAGCAAGGCCTCTCATGTGAAGGTACAAGATCCCAGTAATGAATGTAACTGTACTGTCTACGTAGAATGTACCAATAGACTCAATTAAAAAAAAAAAGTTATTATGCACTGTGGAAAACAGTATGTCAGTTAAACCCAAGACTACCTGAAACTGCGCTGCTGGTATATACTTGAAAGAGTTGGAAACAGAGACTTGAATAGATATTTGAACTCTGTAGAAGTTAGCTCAGCCACTGTAACAAAATCCCACAGTTTGGGTGACTTAAACACCAGAAATGTATTTTCTTAAAGTTCTAGAGGCTAGAAGCCCATGATCAAAGTGCTGTCAGCATTAGTTTCTACTGAAGACTCTTCCTGAAGTGTAGAAGGCCACCCTCTCCCCACTGATCCCAGAAGTCCCTGGCTCCTTCCCTGGGGGTGCTCTAGGAGAGCGGTGGGCTCTGCGCCTCTGCCTTCTCAGCAGGATACAAGTCCCACCCTCGTGACCTCACCTAAGTGCGGCCCCTCCCTGCAGTCTCCACCACTAAGTACAGTCGTTCTAGGTGCTAAGGCTTCCACGTATGAATTTTGGGGAACAAAAGTCCACTCCACTGTCTCAATTTTTCTACAAATTTAAAACTGCCCTAAAAAAGAGAATACATTAATGAAAACCTTTTAGATACCCAAATCAAACTTTCAGAAATGAAAATACAATGAGATGAAAGTACACCAGGTGGGAATAGTGACAGATTCATGCAGACAAGATTAGTGGTTTTGAAGATACAGCCATACAAAGTAACCGAGGGAAAACAGCTTCAGTAAGCAGTGGAATAACTGCGAGCACCCTAACATATTATACCTGGAGTCAAAAGTATTTTAATTTGCTAGAGCTGCCACAGCAAAATACCATGGGCTCAGCGGCATAAACAAATATATTTTCTCACAGTCCTGGAGGCTGGAAGTCCAAGGTCAGGTGCTGCAGGTTTATTCTCCTGAGGCTTCTCTCCTTGGCCGGCAGACGTTCACCTTCTCGCAATGCATCTTGCAGCCCATTTTGTGTGTTCATCCCAGCTCCTCTTCTACACACTGAAAGCCTATTGGATCAGGGCTCCGTATTTGTGACTTCACTTAACCTTCACTGGGGCTGGGGTGTTGAGACTGGGTCTTGCTATTCATTCATGTTGTCCCTGAACTCACTATGTAGTCCAGGGTGGCCTTGAACTTCAGGTGATTCTCCTGCCTCAGCCTCCTGAGAGCGGGGAATACAGGCAGGTACCAGCACAACCAGATGGTTAACCTTAATTACCTATTTAAAAGTCCTATCTTCAAATAGACATGCTGGGGGGTTGTTGTGATGTATTCATTTTGGGGAGACACAACTCAATTCACAATAGGAAAAAGAG